CATCTGGTGCTTATGGAATTTTCGTAATATGCCTATTTTTGGAACAGTTCTTCCCAAAAAGTCGGTTCTTTTTGACGATGTGGTTGAGAAATCCTTTTTTTGGATTTCTAATAGATGTAGTAGAGTTACCTTACGTTGGACTGAGTGGCTTCATAACTCCTCTCTTGCTACTTCTTTGATGTAATTTTTCTAGCTTCTTGCTAGTTTTTCTTTTAATAAAATTCTGCTGTTCAAAAAAAATTTTGCCGTTTTTTAAAAATAAATGAAATATTCTAATAAAAGAATATTAGATTGTAACTATTCTGATGTATTTTTAGAATATTATAATATTCTACTAGATTTGTCAGATATATAAAATATTCTAATATTCTACTAGAATATGTAGAAAAAAGTATTTATTTATTTATTTTTGTTTTTTTTTTTTGGAAAATATACATGACGAAAATAATATTTGAAATTTCATTTTAGAAAATTTCAATTATTTTACATTTTTAAAATGTTTTTTTATCTACAAAATGAGTGGCTAGATTGCGTCTCATGGTCTCACAAAATTAGGTCGTCTCACATGAACCCAACTATATATATATATATATATATATATATATATATATATATATATATATATATATATATATATATATATATATATATATATATATATATATATGGGATAATGTCATAAAAAGCCTTAATTTTGTAAAAAAAAAGTCGGTTTTACCCTCCGACGGGTTTTTGTGTCATTAATGCCGCATACTTGTCTCACCTTTTGCGTTTATGCCAAATACCCGGTTGCAAGAGGGTTTACCGGTTACCCTCTACTTACCCCTCAACTTTTCCCCCCGTTTCTTAACCCCATTTACCAAACGACGAAGCTGGGTTTTTAAAGAAGAACATCACGAAAACAAAATCAGATTTGTACACCAAATGACAACGTCGAAATCAAATTCAAGCTGGAGTGGCACATCAAGAAGGAAAAATCGGGAGATAATACGATGTAGCTGTGGTGATATTTGCCCTATTTATGTTTCACGCACTCCAGAAAACCCAGGATGAAAGTTTCGTGGCTGCCCTAATTACCAGGTAATTGTTGTGATGTTTGCCCTAATTATGCTCTCTCTACTATCGTCCCTTCTTTATGTAATTTTATTCTTCTTTTTGTAGGATGAAGATGGTGGTTGTGGTCATTTCAAATGGGTTGATGAAGAAGAAGACGAATTTAGGGCTTTTAAGAAGCAATTGAACCTTCAACATAAAGATATCGAATTTGTGATGTTGCTCAAACTGATTGTAGGGCTACTAGTGAGTATTTTGGTCTGTCTTGTTGCGGTGGTTATTAAGATGTAAGTTAGGTGAAATGATAACAAGTTTGTAGTGTAGTTTATTACATTGGTAGATGTACTAAATCTGTAAAAGTTTGAATGGTGCAATAGTATTAAAGTTTGTATGGCTATGATCTATTTTATCAATGCTTTTGTGAAAATGGTAACTACACATTCAACAAAACACAAATTCAAAGTGAGATGCATAAATTGGTAATCAAATGTGCCAATAATGGTAAACATATTCACCATAACACAAATGGGAAGTAAGATGCGTAAATGGTTATCAAATGTGCCAATAATGGTAAACATGTTCACCATAACACAAATGGGAAGTAAGATGCATAAATGGTTATCAAATGTGCCAATAATGGTAAACATGTTCACCATAACACAAATGGGAAGTAAGATGCTTAAATGGTTATCAAAAATACTTGTAAACATGTTCACCATAACACAAATGGGAAGTAAGATGCATAAATGGTTTTCAAATGTGTCAATAATGGTACAAATGTTCACCATAACACAAATGGGAAGTAAGATGCATAAATGGTTTTAAAATGTGTCAATAATGGTACACATGTTCACCATAACACAAATAGGAAGTAAGATGCATAAATGGTTTTCAAATGTGCCAATAATGGTACACATGTTCACCATAACACAAATGGGAAGTAAGATGCATAAATGGTTTTAAAATGTGTCAATAATGGTACACATGTTCACCATAACACAAATGGGAAAGTAAGATGCATAAAATGGTAATAAAAATTGACAACAATGGGTAACACATTCATCATAACACAAATAAAAGGGGGTATATTAATTGCATAAGGTTTTTTACATCTCACTAATACGTAGCAGCCATCCAATTGTATCCAAAAACCTAAATAAATTATCAAAAAAGGCAACCAAGTTTATAACATAAAACAAGTGGATGTATGTTGCATTTAGTGGGTGGAATGACAATAATATTTAGCAAAAAGGGCTCCATCTGCCCGTGTTTGCCCTCCCCACTACACCCCCAAAACACTTAACCAACTACTCCAACCTAACTGGATTGCTAGCAGATGAACCACCTCCATTTTTGTCAAGCACCGTCTTCTTCAACTTCTGCAAAATGATCCTTTCAGAGGGTTTTCTTAACCTTGTCAATCTAGGGACATCATCAAGACCTTCATCATCACCCAAGTGACCATCATCACCTCCTTCTTCTTGTTCACCACCACCATCAACATCATCAATAATAGCATCATCATCATTATCAGAAGGATGATCCAATACATCAGGATGATCCAATACATCTTCCATATCCTGATATTGATAATTACATAAATAAATTAAATTGGAGAAAAATAATGAAAAACACTTACAATAAAGTAATTTCTTACCAACTCAACGGGTAGCATGTCATCCAGTTCCAGTTCTAGCCCTTCCATAGCTTCAATTTCTTCCATGCTATATCCTGCTTCCAACATCGATGCAATCTGTTCAGCATCCAGTTTTACCTTATCTACAAGGACACCATCAGCTTTTCCATCATTAAACTCAACATTACCCCCATAATCTGATTGAGTAGCATCATAGGTTTCTGATTGTTGTTGAAAACTACCCTCCCCTAATATTTCGTCCAACCTCTGCTCAACCTCATCAAGTACTTTGTGTAGATCTAAACCAACCCTTGGAAGCAAAACATCTTCTTTTCCAACATCAACCACTTCAACTTCTTCAACAATATGACAATCTTCAACAATAACATCATTAACATCCCCAGTCTGAATATCATCACCATGACCCCCAGTCTCAATACCACCACCTTCCCCAATCTGAATATCATCACCATGATCCCCAGTCTCAATACTATCAACATAATCCTCATTCTGAATTCCATCACCTTCCCCAATCTGAATACCATCAACAACTTCTTTTTGAGTTGCAGAAACATCTTCTGTATGAGGTGAAGTAGCCTCTTTTTTGGACCTTGATGCTTTTAAAACCTTGGAACTTGATGCTTCTTTCTTTGACTTGTTTTTCTTCTTTGGAGGCTGACTGGATTTAGAAGCTCTTAATGATTCATAAAATTCAGTTGCTTCTTTTTTGAACCTTGATGCTTTTAAAACCTTGGAACTTGATGCTTCTTTCTTTGACTTGTTTTTCTGTATTGGAGGCTGACTGGATTGAGAAGCTCTTAATGACTCATCATATTCAGTTAACAATGGATGTTTCCTTGGTCTGCCTCTTTTCTTTGGTAGCAAGGGTACTACTGGTTTTTTCTCATTCTTACAACTTTTTTTATTATGGCCATACTCTAAGCATTTCCCACATCTTACTGTTCTTGGTACAAATACCCTTGTTGATGAAAACCTCCCCTCTTGCTCACTAGCATGCCTCTTCCTTTTGGTAGTAGGCCTACCTGGCATTCTCCTAGCCAAAGGAGGCAATGGCTTTATGAATCCAGTTTGGCTCCAAAGATTACTCCCATTCACTGGTTTGATATTAGAGGAGTAAGCCTTTTTAAAATTTTCCTTTGAAAAGTACCCATCAATATATACATCTGGTGTTTGATTGATGTAGTTGATGGCTGCATTTGCATGTACACATGGGATCCCAGACAAATCCCATAATCTGCAACTGCAAGTCTTGCTGTCCAAGTCCACCATATAGCTGTCACATCCTCTTCTAGCTTCAAAAACATGTCCTTGACTATGAACTACAACCCATAACCTGCATAAGTTGGTATAGTAAGTAAGAATAATAAAAAGAAACAACACATGTTAAATTTATTTTATGCATACCTCATATTTTTCCCAAACAACTGCATTTTCCTAAGTATAGCAGGACAAACATTTGATTTCCATTTAACATTTTCCTCTGTCATGTGGGAAAACCTGTCCATTATATATATCCTGATCTCCTCAAGCATTGTGATAAGGGGTTTTTTCCTAGCATCAACAATGATTGAGTTGAAACACTCAGAGATTCCATTCTCAACTGCTTCACATGCATAACCCCTATCAAAGTAAGCTCTACACCATGTTTTTGGTTGTCTTGACATCAAGTACTCATATGCAGATGGGCTCAACTTCTTGATGGTTTCCATGTACCTCATAAAGTCACTTTCTACACAACTCATTGATGCAACCCAAAATAATTTCTTGAACTCCAACCCTGTGTATGCTTTCTTGAAATTGGCATAAACATGCCTGGCACATTGCCTGTGCTCAACATTTGGGAGTATATCTTTTACAGCTTCAACCAATCCCTACAAGACAAGAACATTCAAGTCAATATGCATCCCTTTTAAATTGTATTAACATTTATATAAAATGGAGTATTGAAAACAAACCTTATGTTGGTCAGATATCACCACCAATCCTCTGCCATCATGAAGGTCTACACTATCTCTAAGAAGCTCAATAAACCAAGTCCAGTTAGGCTTGTTTTCAACATCAACAACAGCCCATGCTATAGGATATACCTGGGTATTAGCATCTCTACCAATGACAGTCAACAACTCACCCTTCACCTGTCCTTTCAGAAAGCATCCATCCAAACCAATTACTCTTCTACACCCTAATTTCCATCTATCACTTAGAGCTTTGAAACCAATGTAAAATCTGTGGAAGTAGTTCTTCCCATCTGGATTGACAGTTCTTCCCATCTTTGAAACCAATTACTCTTCTACACCCTAACTTTGCATGTTGAACCTGGGTTGGACCTTAATAATTCATCAGCATAATCCCATACCCTAGCATAATGTTCAGTTAGTTTTCCTTCAATCAACTCAGTGGCCCATTTTTTTGCCCTACGGACTTGCCCAATGGATACTACACATCTCAACCTTTGTTTGATATCGGCAATCATGTCCCTAAGTTTCATCTTAGGTGTGTTTGCAATTTCAGTAATGTAATGCCTACCTATCCATTCAGGGGAAACAAGACTTCCAAATTTGAACTTCCTACTGCAACGATGCTCTGCAACCAAATTTTTAACTTGAAATGATTTTTCACTGTACATCCATCCAGCATACAATCTGAAAGGACAATCATTCATCTCTGTCCTCTTCCCACATCTTGCAACTAGTCTAGTTTTATCACATTTTTCAAAGTATATCTGATATCCATTTGACACCCCATAATTTTGAATACAAAACTTAAGTTGTGCAGGAGACTCAAACATATCACCTACCTTAGGTTCTATCTTATCCCATGGTGTGTTTGGATCATGAATTCTGTACTTATTCTTCACCGCCTCTTGTTCACCTTCTTCATCACTTTGCCATTCATTAGCATGATAAACTTGTGCTCTGATTTCATCAGCCATGCTTGAATTCCTTAAGTTTTCATCACTAACTAGAACATTGAGAAAGACGTCCCTACATTTATCAAGCGCAGTCACGAACTCATGCTCTGGTTCGTGATCCATATAAATACCATGGAGCTCATAATCCATCTCATTTAGTCCAGAGAAGGGCTCATATATACTAGCAAATAGTTCTTTGAAAACGTCATCCGATGAAGCCATTACAGTTACCTGCAAAATCAAAAAGATTTTACAAACAAAATCGAAGAATTTTAACTAGATAATTGCTTTAATCATGGATTTGAGAAACTTACTGGTTCAACAACTCAACGAGACTATCACCCAACTATCTTCCTGCTAGAAAAACAATACCAACAATGTAGACCTAATCCTCTTCAAATACCCAAATTTCGTGATGATTCCCTTCCAAAAGCCCAAGATTTTTCTCAGTAGACTGCGATTGAGTTGACGCTTCGGAGAGAGGGTGTGGAGCTCTATGTCTAACGTTTACCCAACGGGGTTAATTTCTTCATTGGTTAAGAAACGGGGGGAAAAGTTGAGGGGTAAGTAGAGGGTAACCGGTAAACCCTCTTGCAACCGAGTATTTGGCATAAACGCAAAAGGTGAGACAAGTATGCGGCATTAATGACACAAAAACCCGTCGGAGGGTAAAACCGACTTTTTTTTTACAAAATTAAGGCTTTTTATGACATTATCCCTATATATATATATATATATATATATATATATATATATATATAAGGGTTTTGTTGAAAAAAAATTAAGAATGAGGGAATGAATTTTTGGTCACTTATTTCGAATTTATCGCTCCAGCGTACCGGACCGATGAAACAAATCATATTCATATAATACGTATATATATATATATATATATATATATATATATATATATATATATATATTCATATATGAATAAGTCTATTCATATATGGATACGTATCTTCATATATGAATAAGTAATGAGGAAGTTTATATTCAATTATAAATATGACGGCAACTGTTGTTGTCGGGGGCGGTAATGGTTGGCGGTGTTTGGTGGCGGAGGTGGTAGTGGTGGTTGGTGGCGGACTAGAGGTGGTGGAATCAGATATAAATACACTTGTATTTATATTAATATATAAATATCACTCATCCTATATCGCGTCAGTACGCCAGAACGTTTTGCAATAGAAGTAAATGATTGATTCAGAATGATTCTCTCATTCTCAATTTTTTTTTATTATCTCAATTAAACTTACCCTGTTCTCTCTCTCTCTCTCTCTCTCTCTCTCTCTCTCTCTCTCTCTATATATATATATATATATATATATATATATATATATATATATATATATATATATATAACGAAATCTATGTATTATACGGATTGATTAAAAAAATTAAATTCGAAGATGTAAACGTGATTAAAGTGAAATTTCAAAATAAAAATAACATAAATGATGAATAAATAACTACTTCAATATATATATATATATATATATATATATATATATATATATATAATTTATATATTTAAAAGTTTTTTCCTAAATCACTTACTTCTTTAAAATTAAGAATTATGAATTTATAAAATGAGTCGGTAAATGAATTTTTAAGGAAAATAAGTCAATTAGTAAATTCTTGAAATTAAAGGATATTTATTACACTTTTTATATTTATTACGTAAATACTAAACAAAGAAAATAATAAAAAACAAAAAACCCATAATATATAATGTGAAAAAATAATTAGTTGAACATGTGGGAAAATCAATTATAATGAAACATATTACAAAAAATATTTTTATTAGTATTATATATATATATATATATATATATATATATATATATATATATATAGTTTCATTTTTATAAAATGACTCTTTTTTTTTTGTCAAATTTAGCTAAAAATTTTTGGGATTGAAAGTCTTTCAAATTACATCTTTAAATGCTTAAAAGATCTCCTAAAACATTTAAATAATAATTAGATTATTTGTTACTATTATGATTGTTTAAGCATATTTTATACACTATGTATAACTTTTTAAAGAAAAAACACAATGTTAATGACATTTTTTGACTTTATTAAAACTGATTCATACACATTTTAATCGGTTAGATAATTCATATATCTGACTTTTTATTATTATACTTCTGAGAATAAAAAGCTCATTTTTGTAATAATAATAATAATAATAATTGTATATGTTTTGGTCCAAACTCCAAAAGATTTGGTGTACGTTTTGTTATTTCTACTTTATGCGAACAAAATATTCATTTTTGTGAAATACGTTTTGGTCCAAACTCCAAAGATTTGGTGTACATTACATTCAAAACATTCTCTCAATCATTATTTTCTCTTCTTTTCATGTATATGTCTAATGGTTTGGAAAAAATATATATAATGACAGATATAAAAATATTTACTAAGATCGGATGGTATCGGGAAATGGACGAGGGAAACTTCTTTTATACTGAAACACCATCCTTTAGGTGAGGGAAGCAACCCGCAGGAAAGAGGTGGAGGGATGAGGTGCCTCTCTCTCTCTCTCTCTTCATGCTATTGGCTTGTTTTTTTTATCTTTTTAATTTTTATAAAATTATATACCTACTAAAAAAATATATCAAAATTTATGATTTTTAATTCCCTACAAAATAAGTATAATATATGTATGAAATATATTTTTTTTTAAAAATAAAAAAAATAGTGAAAGGAGTTTCCTACTCATTCATTGGGTTTTAGGTGGGGAAAAAGAAAATAAGAAAAATGGTGGTGTGACCACAAAAATGAGGGAAACATCTCTCTCATACCCTTTATTCTAATAGTATGTACATATATGATAATAATAAATAAATAAAAAGGTTGTTAGGTTATTTTGAATAAGTACGTATAAATATTTAATAAAATCAGTTGAATATCCAAAATAAATATTTTAATTTGAAATTATCCATTCAAAAGTTCGATGAATTTAACACCTCTTTTGTGTCCGATTCTAAAGTGTAGATGCTTGTATCTAAGATGTTTTATTCTCCCCTTTTATGAATTCCTTTTGGTTGGTTATAAAATCAAAAGGCGAGTTTTACCTAAATTCCTAAAGACGAATATTTTCTTGATGCAAGATGCTAAATCTCTTGTGCTGTTCATGTAATATAATATGATGTTTTTTTAATATTGTCAAATTTTCCTTTGACGTGCATCCATATAAGTTATTACAAATAATGCCATAAAATGGTCATAAATAATATTTAATTTGTTTATTAGGTGGTTTATCTTATAATTATATCCCATAAACCAATAAAATTCATTTCTATTTTTCACCACACCAGTAGAATGGATTTCAACTAGATATACCGATTTTTCCATCCACCGTGATATCAACGTGGCCAAATTTTATCTTAGATTATGCCCACATCGATGTTATATCAAAGTCCATGAACATACAGGAACAAATTATGACATGCGAGATGTTATGGTACATGTCACTGTCACATAAAATTGAACACCATTTTATTTTGTTGAAAACTATTTTAACAGTATAATGAATTATATATATATATATATATATATATATATATATATATATATATATATATATATATATATATATATATATATATATATATATATATATATAAAAACATTAACTTCAAAATCATAGCAATGTATTTTTTTTTATTTTTATTTTTTTATATTCACCACTGATGTAAACTCATTCATTTATTTATATAAGAGTCGAATTGATTTATATTTATCTTTAATATATCAAATAAGTAAAAGGGTATATAGTTATCAAAATACATTAAATGTTTACAATCTTCTAAATATATATTTTTTTAAATTAAATCAATATTTATAGTAACATAGTTTTTGTAACAATACATATCCAATATGTCAAATTGTCGATCATATTAAAAGGTTTTTTCAAATGATTAAAACCAAATAAATTTCTATCGAATACATTTCTTCTCAATCCCATTCATGATGGATTAGACACTCTTCATGTTTCTAAGGAAGCTTTTGACTTCTAAATATCAATTTCTTGACCAGTTACATGATTTTAAAGGACTCATTGATGTGCCCTAAAAGCTTATCTTTGGCTCTTGTGGGCCTCTAAACCCTATAATTTCTCCATTTTATGCTCATGATTAAAAGATTTAGTTATAAATTTATAGTATCATTTAGAATTTCCTTAAAATAAAATTGTATACAAATTGTTAATAATTATTATCTAACAATATATAATATGTATGCGGTGTCTGTTTGTATTTGGTTGGGAGTTTTATTCAATAAACAAACATAAATTTATCTTGTAACTCATTATATCCTAAAATTTGATACTTCAGACATCACAAATAAAAATATCATATGTACTGAAGTCTGAATACTCTAGACAAAGTATGTATTTATTTATAAAATTTTACATAAACAAAGTCTCTATACATGTATTGCTAGTCTTAATGGGCCGTCTTGTATGGTCTAATCAAAGAAAAAGCAGATACATGTCATAAATCATCTAATTAAAAGGAGGGTCTTTTTCTTTTTCCTATTTTGAATAGAAAAAACTGCAAAAATGATCCCTGTGTATGCATTTTTTTTGGGTTTTAGTCCAAACCATGATCTTTTTGAATTGGTGGTCCTTTTAAGCTAGTTTCGTTACGTTTTTTATCCCTCCAAATAGTGAAATGACTGTTATACCCTTGGGGTATTTATTTTCCATTTTTCTTTCATTTTTTTTAAATATAATACTAATTTATTTATTTTAATAATTAAAAAAAATTAAAAAGGGTCTCTCTCTCTCTCTCTCTCTCTCTCTCTCGGTTACCGGAAAAACGCAACCTCAACCATAGTTGTTTCCTCCCTCGATTCCACCCCTTTTATCCCCTTTATTTTGATGGCAAGACGACCTAACCACCTCCAGATCACCACCGTTGACAGCTGAAGAAATCCCATATCACAAACAGCACCTGACGGCTTTGTTCAATGGGGAAGAAGAAGTGTCCACCAATTAACCTTCTATCTTCTTCTGTTTTCGACCATCGTCCACCACACACACACACACACAAAACCCAAAAATCGATTCTCTCTCACTCACATTGATTTGAAACACCATTTTTCATCTTTTTCTATCTCTATCTCTCACAGATCTGAGGTGGTGTTTGAAACCAGACTTGAAATGTTAGTGTTTGTCGACGGTGGTGCCAGAAACCACAAGTCGTCGTATC